CCCCAAAACCCCAAAACCCCAAAACCCCAAATCAGTCTCCACAACTTAAAACTCTATAAATTAAAAATGGAACTTTCTGACCAGCCAGAAGCAGCCATTTACCAAATTTCAGAGTAAGCCACGAACAACTTTTGACCTGGACTTCGGCTAGTAGGGGTTCCAGGAAGGAAGGCGCTGGGAGGGAGTTGGGAACGGGTTCGGTTAGGAATTTTAGGAATAAAGATTGGTCGTTATAAAGCTTAATTATATAGATATGAAAAACAAGTTCAGAGTCAGAGTAGAAAGATAGAATGGATGCTAACAAGGATCCATTATTTCAATTGATTTTTAGAAAAATTACATGTATTGAAGCCAGAATCTGATGTAAATAAAGAGATGGTCCTCTTTCAAAAACATTTTAGTTCTGAAGAATATCAAGATTTAAATTTGATCAAGAAAATCCTCTTTCTCAGATATTTAAAAACCAATAGCTTTTATTGGGGAGGTATCAATAAAAATAAGTGTTTTAAGAGCTTCTTCGCTGCTGTATTTCCTAATAAAGCATTTGTGCTTGAATTAAGAGGAGTCCAAGAGCCACTTGTAGACATTTCTCTATGCTTTGGAGGAATTATCAGGAATAGTTCCAGAATTACGAAAATGATTATTATTCAGACATTTAGAATCAACCACCATCAACTTAAGAGACTAATTGCTTCTTATAGTCATGTGACAATAATGGGGCTCGCCAGCTGTAAAATTTCTGTGCCAAATGTTTTAAACTTTACAGGATGATTAAGAAATTCAAAGATTAACAAACTAGATTTAACTGGTTCAGGGAGCCTCCATTACTCTGATTGGAAGAAAAATACTGAGCAATTCAAGAATTTGATTAAAGGCTTAGCAACTTATCCAGGAATGATGATGAGTCTCAATAAAATTGATATTACTTATAGTACCTTAAAAGTAGAAGATGCAAGAAACATTCTGACAGAAAATGAGTTCGAAGATACTAAAATAATTTCTTGGGAATAAAGCTAAAACCAGTCACTATTAAACAGATTTCTGTTCTCACCTTTCTAAAACTATTTCTAACCTCCAATGGGAGCTTTAGTACCAAGCCCCCAAGTCACAGCATAAAAAGAGGTAAGCCAATTCTTGACTGGGACAAGAAGGAGGTGGGCGTACAGAAAGCCAGCTGACTGAGGGCTGGTCTTGGGAGTTTGGGGTTGAGGGTAGGATGTTTATGGAAATTTTGAGGGTTTGAAGGGGCTGGCTTTTGGATGGGGTAAGGGTCTAGTGCGGGATTGGAGGAAGCTGGGAATAGAAGGGAGAGTTGGAATTGGGAGATTTGGAGCCTCTATGGGGTTATAGATAGTGTTTGAGTGAAATGGAGTTTTTTTTCTCAGAAATTTTTGAAAATTTATATTTTTCTTGCAGTTTGGAGTTGAGAAGTAACCTCTCCAGCTAAATTTTTGTGTTATCTTAAAACTTGAAAGTTTTAAATGCTGAATAAATTTGCTCAAATGCTGAGCGATTTTTTATTTTAAAAGGGATCTTGCTTGTCAAAAATTAAGGTTGGAGAAATCATCTTTCAAATTTGTAACAATTTATTGGTAAATATTTTACTATTGCTCCAACAAGTTATTATATCTCCTATGTTTTATGAGTGTACATTATCAATATGAAAGAGAAGAAGAGTGCAAAGTTAGAATAGATTACCCTCTCCTAAAAGATTGTAAATCATTGATCATCATCGATAAATCTGATGCTTCGAAATTTATCTCTTGAAGCTAATTTATTGGTCCTCTTTAAGCCTGATAAATGTCTAAAATATGCAAAAATATGTTCTTGATTTATTTTCATAAGTCACTAATAATTTAGCCTCGAGATGTCTCTTTTGATACAAACTAGAGAGATCAATTATAAAATCTGCAAAGATGTATATGAAGATACCCATAGCCATGAAATATATGCGGAGCCATTGATCTATGATTCTGAGCAGCACTACGATCAATTCAGGCTATATTTTAACAAATCTCAGGACTTAAATTTTTTAAGAAAGCTGAGGTTGATAAAGCTGTTCAATACAAATGCTGTAGTTTTTGATAATACCTCAGATAAAAATAAGAATATCACGAAGCTCTTAAATTCTTCATTTCCTAGCAAAGCAAAAGAATTTTTATTTGTAGGATCATGCAGAAATAGCATAAAGTTCTCTAAATACTGAGATCCATTTTGCAGGATTAGCTCAAGAATTGTAAGGAAGGTGTTCTTCAGCAAATTGGTCATCAATGAGCACCAATTAAAGAAACTGATGGTATCTTCTAGACATGTTCTGACTATCAGACTGGTTTCTTGTAAGCTCTTGATAAATAAAGTCATTGATTTTTCAAAAGTGCTCAAAGGAACAAAAGTTCAAAAGATAGACCTCACCTGTTGAGGAAAGGAGTCAGAAAGCGACTGGAAAACCAACCCTGAACAATTCTCAACTCTAATCCAGTCTCTGGCCACCTCAGAAGACCTAAAACTCACCCTCTCAACCCTCTGCCTGATGTTCTGTGAAATTTCTATTTCAGAAGCCTACAGAATCCTGAAACTCCACAATTTCTCTAGCACTAAAATTATATGCTAGCTTCAATCTTCCTCTTCTCCCTTGGGGTTTTGGGGTTTTGGGGTTTTGGGG